GCAAGGGCGCCCTAAACTCGTGATCCACGAGAACGTCAAGGGCTTCCCGGCGGGCGTGTTCCGTACATTTCTAGGACAGCACAAAGCCTCCATGATCATGGGTATGCACGTTTGTCTGCAAACGGTGAGCACCACTGGCTCACATTTTCTTGCGATCAGGAGGATGCTACGATATCGAAACCATCTCGATGTCGCCCTTGGAATATGGATTTCCAGTGCAGCGAGATCGACAGTACACGTTGTGTGTCAGGCGGGATTCCGTGACGCGACTTGGTGGATGTTGCTTATGGCCCATGTGTGTCGACCTATTCCTTCAATTGTTTCGGTCGCCTGGTTGCTGAGGCTTTGCAGATCGCTTTCAGACTTCAGGGAAGATGTGCGAAAACGGTATGATTGGAACTTTGGACTCGAGCCGGGCAGCTTTGTCTTCACAGACGGAGGGCAGGCTGAGATTAGCAAGCTGACTGAGCCCATGCTCCAGAACGAGAGGACATATCGTGCCAAATTTCCCGCCGCAGTTGTAGCTGACCTTGCTCAAAACCCGGATCAAAGGCCACGGCATGGCGAGGATACTTTCTTCACCCTCACAACATACTGCAACAGAATTATGCACATGCCTTCCCGACACATATACTGCCCGATGCTGAGTCTGTGTGCAGCCTTTTTCCTCTTGGGCCTCTTGGGGGTCTGTAGATAGGTTTCCCCAAAGCACGTCTTTCCCACTTCTTCCGAGGTGGAGCAGAGCTAGCTGCGCTGCATGGGATGCCAGTGATTGATCAGTTTGCTTGGGATCTGGGGACCCGGACAATGCGCTTTGGAGAACTCACAGGGCCGGACTCGCGACTTTGCAATTGTGCTTCCTCTCTGCATCGTGTGATTCAGCTGTTGGAGCAGGTAGTGCAAGATGTTGTAAGCGGCTGCAGTTTAAGCGGCCATACCATGCAGACAACCTAGGTTGGAAACTCGATGCACTTCGCATGTGTTGGGCTGGTAATGACTGCTGCGCTCGTCTTGAGCTTGCCTGTTGCCGAAGATCAGATGTAGCTGCTCGTGTGCAGCAGGGCCTCCTGGGAAGAGGAGTTGTCGGCAGCAGCGAAAAAACGCCCAGCAGTGAACGGCAGCCGCTCGTAGATCATCCGCTGCCCCGGTGCGCATGAAAGTCTGTTTGATTGAGCAGATGCTGTTTGATTACAGTGCCAGTAAGGAGACAGTATATGTTCGCAGTCATGTGCGTTGTTGCAGATTGTGCCAATGCTTTGCCATAGCAGGAAGACATGTGCGTTTACAGTCATGTGTGCTGTTACACGCCTCTGTTCGTGACACTGGTTCGTTGCGTCGCAGTGACTCAGCGGCTCCGGTAGCCCGTAGACTGCTGTTGCACGTGCAAGTTTCTCGCTAGTTTTGACGTGATGCCAGCGTCCAAGAAACCAGATGTAGAAGAGCCGAGTTTGTCTGGCAGCAGCAGCGGCGACGACAGCTCAGCTTCAGACGACGAAAAATCCGTGCCCAAGGGCTCTGTTCCCAGTGCACCTCACACACCTGTGCCCAAGAGCTCTGCTCGTAGCAGGGCAGGAACACCTTCAGGATCAGCTGCACGCGTGCAGTCTGCTCGTCGCAGGGCAGGATCACCCTCAGAAGCGCACGGGGCAGCACTTGTCGCGACAGAGGCAGCTGAACCTGAACCCCGGAAAAAAAAGAAGCAGCCAACGCACATCAACAAGAAGGATGTGCCGCCCGAGACGGAGGTCAAGCCGATTCCTCAGTGAGTGTTTTCACCCTGTTGCACAGGAAGAGTAGTATGTCCACCTGCATCGTGTCAAGGCGTTCTGTTTGGCCCAGGTGTTGCCACTGCTTGCAGGTCGTTACTGCTGAACAGGCGGTTGTGCGGGGCAGAGCATGGGCCTGCAAACTATGCAACGGAGCAAGGGTGGCTTTGGAAAGACACTACAAGGATACAAACAGAGCGCACCTGTGGGCACATATGGGGCGCGAAGAAAAGAACAACACGATCGTTTCAAACAGGGGCAAAAGCAGAGGGCAAGGTAAGAAGTTCCCCGTCAAGATCGCCGAAGAGGCCACATGGTAATGTTTGGGTATGCGGCTGGGGTGGGGTGGGTCTTTTGCTTTGACTTACCGCTTGCTTGCCAAAATATTCTGTACTGTCAGGTGTCCAAAGAAGACTCGATCGCGCTGTCTCAGCAGAAGAATTGGGTCAACAAGTTGCAGTTTCGCCGAGAGGCGAAGAAAAGGTGGGGAATGAAAAAGGCTGAGGCAAGAGCAAAGTGGCAAGACTTTTTGGCCGACCCGAAGATGCCAAAAGGGCGTGATCAAATGAATTGGATCACTATGCCCTGCCTCCAGTATGTCCAGTGCTAGCCCCAGCAAGATAAGCATCCCGATGCTCAATTACGTCGTGGTGACCTTTTGCATTCGTGCTCTCAGGACCAAAGGGGCCCGCACGCTGAAGCACACTCAAGCCTTGAAGAAGTCAGAGGTGAAGAGCGCCACAGACGATGATCTGTTCGAAATGGCCCACGCAGGCCCTTGTCGTCAGTGAAGTCGGGAAGTTGGCACTTGCTCTGTGTATACTTGACGCCGTTCTCCTATTGCTGTGCCGGGTTTCCTGATGCTACTCTGTGCCGGAATCAGCATGACAGGGATGGATCAGGGCACTCTGCACCGTGACACCAGCATTTTCGATCGCTCCAGTGCCGCCCTTAGCAAACCCACCTCATCGCTGTGGTACTGCCATGCATTCTGATGCACTCCAAGGTATGCAGGACTTTTTGGAGTCGTCTTGCCTCGAGATGGGGCTTGCCGTCAAAGCTGGGAAGGCTGGGAAAGCCAAGGCCAAAAGCAAGTCCAAAGGGCTGCAGGGAGGCAAGCGCCCCCTGGACGATGGACTTGAGGAGGGTCAGAAGCACAGAGCTCAGTGCGATCATGACAGCGCCTGTGAATCTGCGAGCATTATGTTCTTGATTTGGATTGCCGGTTGCCATTGATTCGCCTTTTGAGGCCCAAGAAACATCGCCACCAGAATGCCCAGAGGGATGTGGACCGCATTGCAGCCCTGAGACAGCGACGGACTTTGACCGACAGCTTGGCCGCTTTGCGGACGAGTTTCAGCATGGACACTTAGACTTTTGGTGGTCGCTTGGAATGTTCATCGTCAGCTGGCGAGCTTGCTCAGGTCAACAAGCTGCTTACTTTCTTCAAGGAAGCGGGTCCGGCTTTGGCAACAAGTGCAGAGCCTGCTTTTGTCGCAGTTGATGAGCGTCTTGCCGCGTAATGGGGACATGTTGTTCGATATGTGAGGTGGCAGGTTTGGCTTGGTTGAACTTAATTTCCGTCCTGTGAAACCAGGAATGCGACCTTGCTGGTGGAGCAAACTGTTCGGATGATTCTGAACATGCCTGAAGATGTAGGGGATCTCGTGGATGGCATGGCAAACAAGCCGGAGGAATTTGAAGACGACGAATGCAGCCACGAAACCGCTCAAGCGATGCACAGGGCTGCCAATATGGTCTTGGATGCGTTAGAAGCAGAGAAAAAATTCCAGAAGAAAGACGTCAGCCTTCAACGGTCCCCGCGCAGCAACGATCTCTATCAGAAAGCGCCTGGACTATAGGTAGTGGTAGCCGTGTGTGGTACATTCGCAGTCTGCTTGGGTTGGCATGTTGTTCATGTCGTGAGCTACTGCTGGTGATAAGGCTTTCGGCGAGGAGTTCGATGCTACTTTGACACCGAAGGACCTGAAACAGTATGAGAAAAACATCACCCAGTTGATCTCGGCCTGCTACGTGGGCTTGGAGGGCTTGCAGAAAGCAATCAACGAAGTGCAAGCAGAGCGTGCTCCGGCTGCAATCATTTAAAGGACGGGAGGTGTTTTGGCACGGCATGCCTCACTGTAGGTGGGGGTATGCCGTCGTCTTCAGGTGATGCCGAGAACGCCAAAAAGGGTGACAACGACCAAAGTGGAGGCGATGGCGACGAGAATGGGGAATCTGAGGAAGAAAAGGAGGATGACCCCACGCTGCCGTTGCAGGGCC